GAGTCAACAATCCTGAGCAAGCAGATGATAGCCTCTGTACCTGGAGTAAGTCCTGACCAAATGAATTGTCTACATTTTTATATTTCATAGAAAATAAAGAGTGTAAAGTGGTAAGAGTGTAGGCCTTAGACTCACACCAGAGTTTGAGACCTGCTGTTTACTGGCTATGTGGTTTTATGAAAGTATTTTGACCTATGATTCTTTGCTTTGTATCATCCATTGAATGGGGTATAACAAGGCTTCGTGTATAGGCTGAGGATCGAGGGAGATAATGCATGTAAAGCATGTTAGCGTGGCGCCAGACATACAGATGCATAGTAAGTGCTGAGTAAATGTTATCTATTCAAAATAATATCAGCAAATGTTACATTTTGTTGGATATTTTAATTTTCTATATTCTGCCATTGTAATTAATATGCAATGAACATCTTTGTGCTTAAACCTTTGTCCATATTTTAGACTATTTATTTATAATAGATCTATGGGAGTAGAATTCTAGACTATGGTTTTTTTTTTTTTTTAAGTGTTCTTGATAGTGTAATGCAAGGTGCCATGAGATAAAATCCCAATTCTCGGTAACTTAACACGAAAGTTTATTATTTGCTCATGTGAAGTTTACAAATGGGTATCCTGATTAGTAGGGGAAGGGGAACTTCCATGTGGATGCTCAGGGATCGGGTTTCTTCCATCATGTGCACCCCTCTGCAATCAGCTGGCGGCTGGAGAAAGAGAAGAGAATATGACACATGGGGTTTTCATGGGCCGGGTCTAGAAGTCCATATTTCTTCTACTCACATTCCATTGGCTAGAACCCAGTCACATGACCACACCTGACTGCAAGGGATGATGGGAAATGTGGTCTGGTCTTGTGCCCGGGAAAAGACAAGTGAGCCTGGGGGAGTAGCTAGCCCGTCTCTGCTGCACGCACACTGTTTCCTTATTGTTTAATTCTTTAAAACTCAGTATTTGCTACTTATGTGATAGCTAAAAAATAACATCCCTAATACATAAAAGGGTTATTGAAATCAGTAAGTAAAATACAAACATTCCAACAACAATAGAAAGCAACACTTATAAGGATCACATACAGAGCCCTTTCCAATGACCAATAAGCCATTCAAAATAATCCTTTTACTCTTGCAAGCAATCAATGAATTGTAAATTAATAGGAAATACAAAAATTAAAGTTTGCTGACAAATCAGCAGATTTTTCTTTTAAAAAAAATCACTTCATTGAAGTATGAATGACATACAGAAAGCTGCACATCTTCAATGTATTTGACTTGATGAATTTGGAGATGAGTATACACACATGAAATCGGCACCATAATCTATGCCATGAGCATTTCTATCATCTCTAAAGGCTTTCTCCCAACCTATTTCTTTACTAGTTATTATAATTATTAGTGATAAGAACATTTTACATAAAATCTACCCTATTAGCAAATTTTCAAGTATATAATATAGTATTGCTAATTACAGACACTATGCTGCACAGTAGATCTCTAGGACTTACTCATCTTTCATAACTGAAACTTTTGTACCCTTTGACCAATACCTTCCTATTTCTCCCTCCCCCAGCAGATTTTTCTTGATGATCAAACTTATTGATGGTGAAGTGAAGCAAGCATTCTTATAAGCTACTAGTGGGCTGGGCACGTTGGCTTATACCTATAACTCTAGCACTTTGGAAGGCTGAGGCAGGAGGATTGCTTAAGCCCAGGAGTTTGAGACCAGCCTGGGCAATAGCAAGACAAAAAAATTTAACAATTAGCTGAGTGTGGTGGCGCATGCCTGTAGTCCTAGCTACTTGGGAGGCTGAGCAGGAGGATTGCTTGAGTGAGGAGTTTGAGATTACAGTGAGCTATGATGATGCCACTGCACTCTAGCTGGGTGACAGAGCAAGACTGTGTCTCAAAAAAAAAAA